AGCCTGCAACCTGGGCATGTGCCCTTGACTGGAATTGAACCCAGGACCCTTCAGTCCACAGGCCGACGCTCTATCCACTGAGCCAAACCGGCTAGGGTGCATTTCATTCTTTCAAAGATAATTTAAGACTAGTTATTTTCCCAAAAAACTTAAAATGCCAAAAATCTTATAATCATCTATGAAAAATTTTTGATAAGGATTTTTCCAAATATGACAGCAATTAGTATTTAAATGACATTATCAATAGTGAGCTATGAAGCTGAAAGAATTTTTCTAAACTATCAATAATAAAAAGCTAATGGCCATGCTAGATAAAAGGCTGTATAATCTTTATATTTTCTCCATATAAAATATTATTATAAAATGGTTCTCATATGAAGAGGTACTTATAGAGCATGTAGCAAAAAATTATAGGCAAAAGTATTGTGGAACTGTTACTTATTAAAAAATTATATTGTTTTCCTTTATTTTGTGATATTGATGGAATTTATTAACTTTAAAATTTTTATTTTTAAATTTAATGATTTTTCTCATTCTATAACTAATTACACACTTTTAAACCTAATTTTGTACGTCATCGTTTTTTGTATTCTTTTTTTTCGAGAAAGCCCTCTCCCCACCCACCACCAATCATATAAGATTTAGGCCTCACAAAAATGGATCTGCTCTTAACTAAGAAGTTTGAATTTTCTGTTTCCTGCCTTTCTCCCAACAGAGGCACCTGCGTCCTCATCCAATCTGTTCTGTATCACTCAAGAGCCTGTACATGGCCTGCTTCCAGCAGCTGCCTTACACCAGGCCCGTTAGCCCCTTAACCTGGACCCCACCCATGCACAAATTCGTGCACTGGGCCTCTAGTTGCATGTAAAAATAGTGGTCTTTATAGTTAAAATGATAACAAAATGGAAATGAGTTAGGAAAACCATATACCTTAGGCTTTCTGGGATGTTTCCAGTTTATATCTGTCATCTCAGCAAAATACAAACAGCACATCACTTTCAAAATTGTCCCTATTTAGACAGTAGATTATAGTCACTCTAAACCCATTTTTTAAAGAAAACTATTTTTCAAAGAAATATTTGTTACTGTGCTTGCAATTTTTAAAATCCTTTGTTTTTACTACCTTACAGTCAAAGATTGAAGGAATACAAATATTTCTGGAATAAGACTCTTTCATTACTTACTTTTACTAAAAGAGAAATAACCAGCATTAAAAATGAAATATATGACCATTTTCAAAACTGGACTTCACTGAAAGGAGAAGTTTTTCTTCAAATTAAATACATAAGTAAAACAGCCTTGACAGGTTTGTTACATACATAATGTAATTGTCTTTTTTCTATGTAAGTAGTACGTAGTGAGTAATGAAATACTGATATTGCATTTTATGTGATGGGACTTATGATGAACTTTTAAACTCGTTATTGGCTGAGAGACTAGATGGTCATTATGATCTATTGAAACCCTGAAATTCAGTAAATATAGGCTGGTCTAAGATAAGCTGTGATACATCTATTCTTGAGCTGTGGTCAGAAGTCTGTTTATTTCTGTTAAATGTACTGATTTGCATTTTAAAACTTTTTCTTCTGTTAATAGTTGAGTAGCTTATATTAGGTCAGCCTTCCCACAGATAACAATGATAAATATGGGACAAAATAACTATCCCAAAATACTGTAGAATGACCCAAACGAGACACATATGATGAAAATGTCAAAAATTGAGAGAAGGCATATTCTTAAGTGAAAGAAGCCAGTCTGAAAGTCTGTACCATAAGATTCCAACTAAATGACATTCTGGAAAAGGCAAAACTATGGAAATGGAAAAGGGATCAGTAATTGCCAGGGTTTGAGGGAAGGATGAATAGATAGATTGTAATGAAGTACATAAAACTTTAGAAAGAAAGAACGCTATAATTTTCCCTCAGACCAAAAAAAGGATTTTTAGGGCAATGAATCACAAAGGATTTTTAGGGCAGTGAATATTTTGTATGATACTATAATGGTAGATACATGTCATTATACATTTGTCAAAACCCATAGAATGTACAACAGCAAGAGTGAATATCAATGTAAACTGTGGATTTTGGGTGATAATAATGTGTCAGTGCAGATTCATGGGTTATGAGAAATTTACCACTCTGAGATAGGATGCTGATGGCAGATTATGGCCCCTATTTATATGATTATTTCACTTTTAACAAAGGCACCAAACAATCCAATGGGAAAAAGAAAATCTATCACTAAATTGTGCTGTAACAACTGAACACCCATATGGGAAAATATACCTTAATCCCTACATCACATAGTAGGTAAAAATTAATTCAACATAAATCACATAATTAAGTATAAAAGCTAAAATTATAAGAAACAGGAAAATGTCTTCATAAATTGATAGTGAATAGAAGTTATTTGGATAGGACATAGAATGAAGAGCTACAGAAGAACAAAAATTGATAAGTCAAACTTCATCAAAATTTAAAACTTCTGCTTATCAAACATGCCATTAAGAAAATGAATGGTAAGTCACAGACAGATAAAATATTCAAAAAACTGGAGAGCATTATGCTAAGCGAAATAAGCCAGTCAAAGAAAGATAAATATCACATGATCTCACTCATTTGTGGAATATAATGAACAATATAAACTGATGAACAAAACCAGATCCAGAGACAGAGAAGCATTGATCAGACCGTCAATCAGAGGGAAAGTAGGGGAGCGTGGAAGTAAGGAAGAGCGATCAATCAAAGGACTTGTATGCAAGCATATAAGCATAACCAATAGACACAGACTCCAGGGCGGGGGGTGAGGGCATGAGCTGGGGGTGGGG